ATTTTAATAACAGTAAAAATAGAAGAATACCATGTAAATAATGCAGATTGCTGACATGTAAAGGGTGGAATGAAAATGTAAATAAAGTACAATATAAATGTGATTAATGCCTGTTTATGTTTATTGTGTAATAGTTCGTGCAAAAAACTATTTTAGAAAAATAAAGTGCGGTAGCGGCAGGGACCCCACATATGTTTAAGGGACCCACACATTTTATAAGGGGTGAGTCCCAGGGACTCCACATTATCGAACACTAATGCAACCCCTAAGTAACTTTCTGCAAAGATTTCTAAATAAAATTTTCTCATTTTACAATACTATATCAGATATTTGTTTGGTCATTATAGCAAGTTTGCATCATTCATATTGATATTAATAATTTGACACAAAGTCACAACATTGGTACATCAGGTTTTGATCAGTTATAGCTCACCAACATCATAAACTTTAGATGTGATATTTACTCAAAAAGGCTTTCAACTCTAGTTTTGCTCTAAAAAGTATACTTAAATATGCCTGATCGATACATTTCCTACATACACATTTGGAGATATTTTTTTTCATGTAATTACAATAATTCTCAATATTATACCTCATAACTATTTGTTTTTACATCTATTCGAGAAATTTTAATTTTTTTTTTTAGAAAATGTTGTACCAGGAACGGTACCAGTATGTTTGAAGTTATGCTTATTGGCTCGACAGTAATTCATTAGGTAATGGTAGCCAGTCTTTGGGAGAGGGTGCATTTTCACTTAATTCTAATTTTACTTATGTATTGGTCAAATGTAAAATTAATCTAGAATCTCTTACATCAGGACAATGTAATTCTTACCTCTTCTGCAAATCCCATTGCAGCGGGTGTAGCAGATTCAGGTACTGTACTCACTAAATCAGCCTCTACACTTGCTTCCTTTGCCAACTGTCTACCACAACGTCTACGCACTGAATACACCATCTGGCCTATAAAATAAATAACAATGGTTTTAAATAAACCAGTCATACTGCATCTGCACTCATCAATATGGAACAATATTTAAATTTATAAACTAGATAGAACCAATTTTTATGAACTTTAAAAGGGTACATTAGCTGCAAGCCACAGCCAGGACCAATATAACTCTGCAAAGCTGTGTAAATATTAAATATGCAATCATTATTGTTTTATAAAAACATATCTAGTGAAAGATATCAGCCAGCAAATCCATTCTGAAGATTTAGCTTAAACAGATTGAAAAGTGATAATTAATCAGCAAATTAGCTACTTAATATGCACAGACAAGGCTCTAAAACCGATCATGTCTGCATGGTACCCCAAGAAAACTAAATAAATGCAATAATTTTGATGAAAATCTGCTCAGATGTTTGAGATTTCACTTATACAGACGATACTCAGACCAAACTCATTACCTTCCTTGTTTTCTAAGAAAACAAGAGAGCTGAAAATCAACCCAAGTGATAACAAGATGCAAACAATTATACCATCGTATTTTTTATATGTTTATATACATGTTACATTTGGATTTGTTCTACAATAAAAATCTTATTCTGTATTTGTTAACTTGTCAAACACATTAAAATTGTTGTCTTGTTTTTTGTCAATCTTTTTCATCACACTTTATTGTACTTGCTGAAAATTATTATTATTACTATTTATATATTTTATATGTTATTATAAAACTCGACACCACATGATTCAATGCTGTTAGAATTTCTACAGTCAGTAAGTGACAACAGTGTATATTTAGCATCATGTATAAAAGTTATGATCGGTCATGATCAGCAAAATTCCTGTTGAATGGCATTTTAATGTGCTATCTTGGTGCAACAATCACTATGCTACTGGTGTTCAGTAGTTACATAGAAAGTTATGTATTTCTTGTTTATTACTCTACCTTCAGCAACACTGTCTGGTCTTAGAAAATATACATATTCAAATATACAGAATGCCGGTAGATCATTCTTTGGTCTGTCTACGATAGATAATGACTTGACACCATTCTTCGTGATTCGTATAATCTCACCGGGTGAAACTTCACGATGGTATTTGGCACCAATTGATTGAAAAGAACATGATTCTGAGGACACCACCCACCCTTCAATGTCACTGTCCATGGGCTTTGTATCTGGATAAAAAAAATATATAACTTTAATTCAATAGCAGTAGTAAAAATGTAAATGATTTAAGTCATGGACAAATACACAACATTTTTATTAGAAAATTACCCAAATGTCATATATTTTTTTCACAATCAATCCTAATTAAAAATTCAATTTTTCTTGTTATATTCTGTTTTATTGAACTTACCACAATATCCACCAGATATTAATTTACCAACACATAATGGTCTATTTCCATATGGGTCTCTCACGGCATAAATACAGTCTTCATACATAATAACTAAGGAATATGCTGTTCTGGTTTGCTCCATCAAATAACGAATCCTGGCTGTCCAATTTGGACCGTCCAATTCTTCTTCCAGGGGTGAGAAGGCCAACAACTGGGTGATTAGTTCACTGTCAGAACCGGTAGACAACCCAACTCCATGTTTTAGAACCTATTGATAAAATAAAAATTCCTTTCCATGATGATAAAGATAAACAAGTCTCTTCAATAACATTAATTTTTCCAACTAAAAAATTGCAGCAACTTTACTACAGTTTTATGTATTTGTTCCATAATTTCAAATAATTTTGGACCAAATGACAATCTTGCTATAAATATTTATCAAATTTTGAAGAAAAAAAACAAGAAAATAATGACCATATTCACTCCATTACATGCGCATCTCTAGTAGATGTGCGTATAAACAAAAAAATTGCATTTGTTTCAAACTGTATCAATAAAATGAATAAAGCCTTAAAGTAGAGATGCAGTTTATTTGGCTTGCTTTTTAATTGAGGAATTAGACAATGAAGATGGTATTATATATCCAACATGTTATATATTTTCTGAAAGCTTATTATACAAACTTTGTAAAACTTGTCTTTATTTTAAATATCCAGAATGCGTTTTTGATTTTGGGTCAAAAATATGCTTTTTTGGACAAAAGTGGTTTAAAAAAGATTAGCTTAAAAACTTCAAGTCCGTTTGTGGGTAAAAATACATCACTGGATACCTTGGTATACTACTAATTCAAATGCGTCCACTCATCTCTCTAACGGCTTTCAAAGTCGCATAGCATGACCTCAAAGTTCACTCTTTCTATTTTTGCATAATTTATATATCCATGTTAATTGCGGACTTGTTATTTTTGTTCCACTTGCCATAATAAACTGTCCGGACGCATTTTGAAGGGGGAGCACCTTGTCAATAATGTGTGAAAATTTCGAGGCAAATGGTCAAAGCGTCTAACAGCTATTTTAATTTAAAACCCAAGAATTCACCAAAAATAGAAGACGAGAAAAAGGCTAATTTGCATATTTGCGCGTTAAACCGGGAATTACTGCTTTGTCATACTTTGTCATACTTTCTAGACTATTGAAATTGAAAGTTAACGTATAGACATAGACATTTTATGGACCAGAACAACTGCTCTTGAATATATAAATCAGAAACACGTCATTCATACCAGTGTTTTGATGGGGTCGGTAAAAACACGTGGCAATGCCCAGTAAATATGACGTCATCTCATGAATTATTAAACAGGGGGCGGTCCTAGGAAGGTGACCTTTTATCACGATCAAAACATCATGGCTTCTCTTCGGTGTATTTTCAATAAAAAATCTACAAGTATTTCAGAGCCTATGGTTTACCGTGAAGAGTACAAAGTGGGATATTAAATTATTTATTTTTGATGATTTTTATGTAGTATTGAGAACCAACTCCAGGAAGCGAACGCACAATAATGAATAATCGCGTAATCCTAGAATCGAAACGCGAGGCACAGAAGTTTTGTTCATCGTTTCCAATCCCATTTTTTCCACTGCAACAGAAATATTTGAATTCTGTTCGTTTTTTAAGGAGGCTTTTTTTTATTTTTTCCGATTTTGGCAACGCCTTATTCAGGGATTTTCTAAGACAGTCGCAGACAATCAGCGCACGGATGTACATACAAAACATGCTGTTGTACTACCGGTGACGGTCGCCTGCAAGAAGAGAGCTCCAGCTCCTAACGTAAAAGTTTTAACCGGTTTTAAATAATTAGTGTTGGAAATCTGACATGTTTTAAGAGTGCAAAATTAAGGTGCATTTTCGAGCGGTCGAATTTTTCTGAATAGAAATCGGCAAATGAAAAAAATAGGAGTGCTAAAAGTGTGCTTCGTTAGTTTAAAAAAAATGGAATGTCCGTCAAATTGACGTAAAC